CCTCCTGCCCACCCTCTACTGGGGATCAAGCCCGCAACCCAGGCATGTGCCCTTGGCCGGAATCAAACCTGGGACCCATCAGTCTGCAGGCCAACGCTCTATCCATTGAGCCAAACCAGTTCCAGCTCAAATACTTTTAATACTTCTGCACTTTTAAAACTTGAGAAGACGTGATTTCTTGTGCTTTTTAATTTAAACACCTTTTAAGTGTCTCTGTTTCCAGAGACCAATGCTCTGAGCTTGTCCACAGACTTTCCTTTGGGTGAGAGTGTGTCTCGGGGCAAGGGGTCTGTGGGAAATGGAAGGTAGGTGTAGCTGGTGACACCCACTGACATGGGGTCAGAGTGCGGAACACAGTTCAGGTTGCCTGTATGACAAACAGATCCCAAACTGCTCAGTGACCTGGCATCCTAGGTGAAAGCTGAATGGACATAAAGTGAAATAAACTCACGTTAAAGAACATTTTGTTTTTAAGATACTAGTTTTTACCAACCTTTGCTTTGGTTCCTTCAGGTTCGATTTGCTGCCCTCATTACCGTGCTCGCACTGGCGGAGACACTGAAGGAGAATTACATCGTCTTGCTACCAGAGTCCATTCCCTTCTTAGCTGAATTGATGGAAGGTAATTTCCAATGAAAAAGCAAATGTGGGTGCAGTGGGATAGCCTTGGCTCGTCTGGGGACCTGGGAGGCCGGGTTCCTGTTTTGAGTGGGGTGGCGGGAAGAGATTAGGAGATGGCCTTTCGCTCACACGTGTATTTTGGCTGCTGATGTAGCCTATTGTATCACGATGTCTAGGGCATTGCGGCAGCCTAGGACAGCTTCCTGTTCATAGGACCAGCGTCCACTCCGTGCTGGGCATGGTCCTCATTATCCTCAGGACGTAGATCTTACAGTGCTCGTTTCACAAAGAACTAGAGGCTTTAGGGATTAAGTAACTTGATGAACTAACAAAGCACGTGTGACAATGGAGCTGGGGAGGGAGCCAGGTGTGTGCGTGTGGACACGGGGCCCAGGAAGCACCAGGCACAGGGCAGCCCAAGGAATGACAGTGGGGCTTCCCCCTAAGCAGGGCGTGGAGGCAGGGTGGCCACGCTTTCACGTTCATGATCCACAGCTCATCTCCACAAAGGCCATGCACCTGGTTCTTACGGCCCTGAGCGCAGCACCACCAGGAATTGGGAATTGGGAATTTTCTTGTGGGGGCCTCTGTTGGGTTATATCTCCCAGGCCTAAGACCCCTGGCAGGGAGGAAGGCACAGGATCTCTGATGTGCTTCCCTGTCTGCTGGCTGGTGGTCAGAGACGGGGGGACGCCTGGATGAGGCGGTGGGAACCGGGGCCGGAAGCTGACCCGTGTCCTTTCACTTCTAGATGAGTGTGAAGAGGTGGAGCATCAGTGCCAGCGGACAGTGCAGCAGCTGGAGGCTGTCCTGGGGGAGCCGCTGCAGAGCTACTTCTAACCGGGGGAGGGGTTCGCACTCTGTTCAGAGTTCGGATTTACATTTTATATTTTTATTTGGGGTGTTTGGTGCCATGTTCGTTTTGGTGCCTTCACACCAACGTGGACTTGACAAGATTCCTCCCTGGTTTGTACTCCATCCAACCCCTCCTGCCATCTGTACAGAATTGCAAAGAGTAAATGACACGTGGTGGTTTGATACAGGTGGCTGCGTTGTTTCCACGTTTATTAGTCCTTCCTGACTGTGCTGGTACAGCAGGTCTCATCCTCGCGCCCCAGCTGACCGTACCCACTGGAGTGCAGGTGCAACCCTTAGCTCTTCGGTAAAGGAATGTCTTATGCACCCGGGAGCCAGGTCAGATTCACTCAAAGCAACACATTTTCTTCACTTCAAGAAAGTGAGTTATTCGGCTTTCAGCAAGAATGCTTTTGACTGTGTGAAGCCATTTGGACTTTTACTTTCATTTTGGGTAGATAGCACTCACCCTTCATTTTTTTGTGTGCCCATAGAGGGCAGTAGTTCTGGAATGTACTTTTCACTCAGGACAATGATTATCTCCTTTATCTTTCGGCCTTTCCCGAGGGCGGAGGGAGTGGAGGCTACAGGCTGTTTCTGAAACAGCTACACCAGACAGATGCACCAACCGGAAGCTCCTCCACCTTTTCCCCCCTCCTCCCCCCGCCCCAGGAATAGGAGGAGGACTTTCCCACTGGGGGTAACCAAGAGTCGCTTGTATGAGAAAGAATCGGATTTTTTTGAAGTTCTCTAATCCTTATGATGTCACAGTGACAGTCGTGACAAAGAAGCAAAAGGCTGACATGCAGTTTAGAGATATATATATTTTCTTCAAGGAGAATCTTAGTAAGATTCAGTCATAAATGCTAATAGCTTCACTTCAAAAACATCTTAAGATTTTGTATTCAGTCCTTTGGACTTGGGGAAAATCTCAGTCATGCAGTCTTTCAGGAAGAAAAAAAATAACCCTGGGATTCTAGAGTCTTCTTGCCCTCCCGCCCCCATCAGTATTTTTTGAGTTGGGCAAGATTCGGCATAATAAATTTACAGGGAAAGAATGCTAGAAGTTTCTACACTGAGTGGGTACTTTAAAGTATATATATATGTTGGTAATAGTATTCTTTTCAGTATATTGGTATTAAAAAATAACGAATATCTGTTATGAAAATACTTCTAAATCCTGGCAGAATCCAGCTCAGCAATTTAATAAGACAAATGATCTGGCTGATGGAGCTTTTTACCTCCCCCGTCGCAAGCCTCTTAAATTTCCTGAAACAAGATCTGACATGTAAGAATTCTTCAAAGAATTCTGCCAACTCGTTTCAAAGAGTCATAGGAAAAATTACAGAAATGCAACACTTAACTTGCTGATACAGGTTTGATTTAATCACTCAGATAGAACAATGTTTGATCTCAGCCTAGGGATGGACTAATCTGGAAGAGCAGAGAGGCGGTGTCGCTTTGCATGCGGACACCCAACAGGTGTTTATGTTGCCTCTCTACGGTGGTCTATTTCACTTTCTGGTAGGGCCCGTTTCATAAACATTAAATCAGTTCTTAACTTTGCTTTGTGACCCATAAACATTTGCAAATTGAATTCCTCTCGCTTCTACCTTAAACTCTGTACAGGTATGTGCAGACCTTTAACTCACCCTAAATTCATTTAAAAAAAAAAATGCTATAATAACCACTTACTGGTACAAAAGTATTGTGATTGACATCAAGTGAATTTCAACACCATTTGTTTGTGTTGCCTTTGCTTCGTTTTGTTGCCTTAATCTCTGTGCCGTGTTCATGTCATAGTGTTAATGATTTGGTGGTGCTTACAGTTAGATGCTTATTATGTTAAAGGGAACTGCCAGATATAAGTCGCTATCAACTCGGCTGCAGGGATGAGAGAAGGCTCCTTAAGAATGTGGTCCCTGGGGCTGTAGTAGTGTCTTCTATAATTAATGTCCTAGGTGATTTAATAGCTGAGTCATTCCAAGGCCCTGGTGAGTGTATCTAACCTGCAGTGGCACAAGGGGAGACACAGAAGAGTATAAGGAACATGGTTTTGGGCACCACTGTACATCCAACCCAGCACGGTGCTGGCAAAGGCAGTGCTCGATGCGTGTTAGCTGCTGTATAGAGCAGGCACCTCACCAGCGCCTGGTGACTGTGAAGCGGATTATAAACAAGAGGCGGGTGGGGAGAGAGGAGGAGGCCTGAATAATGCATAGCTGCTGCTGCCTGCAACTTCCTCCTCCTGCGTGACAGGTCTGAGAACACCGGGAGGACTAACGCTGCGGAAGCTCATCTTAGCTATGTACACAGGTAGTATGGTCGTGAGATGCACTTTAACCAGGCCAGGGTCACGTAAGCCATTCTGTATTTCAGTTTTCGTGGTGGTCGTGTCGGCTACCAGCTCCTTACTTCCAGCAGCTGGATGTCTCCGTCGATCTCCAGGGTGTCGATGCTGGGGAGCTCTTTAAACCTGTGCTTGTACTCCAGGCTGTGGACGCCATTCACCGCAACCTTGAACTCTTTAACATCACAGTAAATTATCATCTGGAAGGAAAGGACGCGCAACGTTAGCGCTTCCCTTGGTTTAAAAATCTGAGTTTCTTGTACAAACAGGACTCGCTTCCTGGGAGAAAGGGCTGCCACCCAAAGCTGTGTGTGACCAACAGGAAGATGGCAGTGCAGGCAGTTTCATGGCCCCCGTATCTTCATATCCACGGGGCATTAAAAATATCACCCCAGGACTGAGACAAGGTTCCTGCTAAAACCCCTATTAACTAACGGGGCTATCCAGTTTTTGACATGACAACCAATGTCTAATAATTCCATTCTACTGGGTTTGCCATTTGCACTGTCTATGTTATAAATAGGATATTGAAAATACAATCTCAGAATAAAACACACACACACACACAGCTGCACAGTAGGGCTTATCTGCACGGACCGTCTGTCTGACCCCTGCTCCCAGGATTCTTTGCCCTATCCCGTTTTCAAAATATGATCTTACCTCAAAGTACATCCCAGGACTAAATGGGAAACAGGTAATATTTCTCTCTTCTTCTCCCCAGGACTCTTGAAGGAAAGAATTCCTTATAAATGCTTTACTATTCAGGCGCGGGTTCAAGTGGAGAGCAATATCCTTTGATTTTCCTGATATCAGATCAACATTAAAGCTTTTAAGACAAAAAAATAAAATTTAGTCAACTAGAAGAGAGTAGTGCACTTTCTGAAATTTAACAAGCAGAACTGAACTCTGATTATAATTACACAAAACAGAAGTATGCATATGGACATAGGAACACGAAAGGTGAAATGAAACTTTAAATTCCAAGTTAGCATTCCATAGATATGTTATTTGTAAAATGAAGATGGGAAAAAAAAACTTTAAAATCCATGTTGAGGGTACGGATCTGGTTAGGAGGAAGCTGAGGGTTTAGAAGAATAAGCCAAGTGACTTCTTCAGCTGCAGGGGGGCAGGGTCCTGTAAAGGGATTCTCATGTCTGTGTGCTGTTCTTGGAAGTGTACTTCTGTCCAGGAAATGCCTCATTTCAAGCTTTCAGAATCCAAATATCTCAGGAGAAGGTCCGTAAAGCAGACGTTTTACAAGTTACATAAGAGCTACAGGACCTCACAGGGCTGCCCTGGATTCTACCCTGAGGCTGGCCACAACATTAGGATTTAGTCCTGGTTCTGCCACCAACTAGTGAGCAGCCTAAGTTCCTCTTTATTACCCGCACCTTTCAGCTGAGGATTGGCACCCTGGCGCTACTGGGATCTCACAGGACGGCTGCACGGTGAGAGCCAAGAGGAGCCCTGGCGCTACTGGGATCTCACAGGACGGCTGCGCGGTGAGAGCCAAGAGGAGACACGTGGAAGGGGGTTGCACTGTTAATCGTGGGAGAGGGTTGCACTGTCACACGTGGGAGGGGGTTGCACCGTCACACGTGGGAGGGGTGCCCTTGGAGGGGGTTGCACCGTCACATGTGGGAGGGGGTTGCACTGTCACACGTGGGAGGGGGTTGCACCGTCACACGTGGGAGAGGGTTGCACTGTCATGTGGGAGGGGGTTGCACTATTACACGTGGGAGGGGGTTGCACTGTCACACGTGAGAGGGGGTTGCACCGTCACGTGGGAGAGGTTGCACCATCACACGTGGGAGGGGGTTGCACTATTACTGTTAACTCAGTGATACCAACCCTTTGGCCTTCGCGTTCACTTCTCCTTTAATGACGACAGTCCGTCCGGGGCCCATGGAGGAGTTCAACCTCGCCACGAAAGGCAGAGTCTGAAAAGAGACCACAGTCGGCACCAGGAAGCCTGCAGGACGCCGTCATGTGGGAAAACTGCCCGAACACGGACGTGTTCAAGGGCTGTGGCTGTCAACCCCGTGAAGGGACAGCCTGTGTCTGCCCTGGTCCCGGACGGGCCCCCAGCAGGAACCACTGTGCCTGGCTCACGGCAAACACTCGTGAAATGATGGCGTGGAGTGGGACCTGCTGTCCTGAGTGACGCTCCCGCTGAAGAGCCTGTGGGTGGGGTCGGCAGCGCTGCTCCTGCCTCGAGGGGGCAGGGAGGGGATCACACTAATGGCTCTGTAGGGGGCTGGGGCCGGAGGACGTCCAGGGACAGCTCCGAAATGCTAGGTGGCTGCTCTGGGCTTCCACGGAGGCTCGAGGCACCATTTATCAGCAAATTAAAACTTAACTCATCCTACAGGAGTAAACATCGGGGGCTCTGCAAACCTTGGACAAACAGTTGATAGGTAGTATTTTGGCGCAAGTCAAAGTGTGATGGGCAGTCGGACCTTTGCTCTTGGTGCAGACAGTTCTGGGTACGGTTTTATCAGTGTCTCCTCTATTACTAGGCTGTGGGGAGACAGGGCCGCAGTGAGGGCTGGGATGAATGGCGCTGTCTTCCAACATCGAAACCACTCGCTCACTGGGCAGCTCTACAGAATGTTCTACATATTCTAACAGGCGACAATACTTACAAACTGCGACATGCCGGCACTGGGTACCTACAGGGAGAAAGAGACAGAATGAGGACGCCTGAAAGGAAAGAACTGCAGCGCTGTGTACTAACAGGAGTAACTGGATCTCTCTAGTGTCCTGAGCCAGCCTGGCAGGGACCACAGTGCCTGCTCGGCCCTGGGGCTGATCCCCTGGCAACAAGAGCGCCATGGTGGTGTGGTCCGGAGTCGTCAGGGCTCCTCGGGCTGGAAGGACAATCAGAATCCTGTACACCCGCCTCCCTGTTTTAAACTGGTGGTTCGGCCCTAACCGGTTTGGCTCAGTGGATACAGCGTCGGCCTGTGGACTCAAGAGTCCCAGGTTCGATTCCAGCCAAGGGCATGTACCGTGGTTGCCGGCACATCCCCAGTAAGGGGTGTGCAGGAGGCAGCTGATCGATGTCTCTCTCTCATCAATGTTTCTAACTATCTCTCTTCCTTCCTCTCTGTAAAAAAATCAATAAAATATACTTTTAAAAAAATTAAAAATAAACTGATGGTTCATTCAAAGACTTGACACTTACATCTTCTCCATTTAGAACTGCCACTTCCAGAGTGGATGCTTGGGCGCTCCTTAAATCCTGAAGAAAAGATAAGACTGATCTTTAGCATCCATCCAATTCCAAGTGCAATCTGCTTGACGTAACAACAAGAATTACAGCCCGGCCAGTGGGGCTCAGTGGCTGAGCGGCGACCCGTGCACCGAGAGGCTGCAGGTTTGACTCCCGGGCAGGGCACATGAGGGGGTGCGGACTCGATTCGTGGCGGGGGGCATGCAGGAGGCAGCGATCCATCAACATAAATGTTCCTATCGCCCTCTCCCTTCCTCCCTCCCTCAAATCCATATACTTTATTATTTTTTTTTAATATGCTTGAGAATTCTGCCTTAGTATTTTGGGAGGGCAAGTTAGCACTTTCAACCACAACATAAAATGCAGACACCCCTTGGCTCAGACAGCCCACCTCCAGGGAACATCTGGGGGAGACTCCCCCGTATTCCTGGGTCGAGGGAACAGCCCCAGTGGCTAAAAAGGGCTTTTTGTTGGAACTGCCCTAGATTGGAGGTCTGCAGGCGGCAAATAGCATGGGGGGGTCCAGGAGTTAAGGGGTTTCCTCCCATCTCGGCAGGAAGCCTCACCGACAGCCCCATGTGGGGGAAGGCCACTCACCGAGCTGAAGCTGAAGCCCACCGAGTGGACGCTCACTTTGCCGTAGATGCCCAGGGTGTCGATTTTCTCGGGGCTGATCCTGTGGGCGTAGAGCAGCGTGTGTTTTCCATTGACAGCCACCTGGGTGGACACGGTTTACCGACAGTTAATAATAAGTTCATCTTACTGATTTACACAAACTGAAATCTGTTTACTTGGATTGAGGTGTTTTTTTTAAATATATTTTATTGATTTTTTACAGAGATGGAGAGGGATAGAGAGTTAGAAACATCGATGAGAGAGAAACATCGATCAGCTGCCTCCTGCACACTCCCTACTGGGGATGTGCCCGCAACCAAGGTATATGCCCTTGGCCGGAATCGAACCTGGGACCCCTGAGTCCGCAGGCCGACGCTCTATCTACTGAGCCAAACCGGTTAGGGCTACTTGGGTTGAGTTTTAAGTTGATCCCTTTCCCACAGGGCCCCACTGTGTCTGCCCAGACTGACTGGCGGCATCGTGCCACCAACAGGGTTTATCTTCTCCTGGCTTCCTGAGCTCGTTAAAGCCGTAAGTCCGTCCTTCTCTGCACACCAGTCGTGCATGCGTGCACATACGTGGGTCTGCATGTACGTGTCTGTGCATAGATGAGACCTCCAGGATTCAGAGGCCCCGGATGCCTGGGAGGCTTGAGCCCAGGAGAGATCCACCCCGCAAGTGTGCCCCCTCCGAGAGCCCACAGTGCAGGGGGCAGGCACTCAGCCTGCCTTTGCTGCACTTGGTGAAGGAATGACCCTGGGCAAGTCCCCAGCTTCTCTGGGATCGCTGTTTGCAAGCAGGCAACGCTCTCGCCACAGGGCTGCCGTGTGAGGGGACGAGGCCCTGCTGTGGGTCCCAGCTCAGCCTGACACAGCAGGTGCCAGCGCACATAGCTCCTGCTCCCTCCCTCTCTCCCTCCCAATGCAGGTACTGTGTCGGGAATATTGGGAAAACACTGGCAGAATACGGATGGTCCCTAAGCAAAAGGAGCTTAAACCCTAGAGGCGGGCAAAATAAACACAGGAAGAAACCAAAGCACGGTAGGAACAAGGGCCCAAAGGCCGGAGGAGGGAGGGTGCATGGAGTTCAGGAGACTTAGGGGCGAAGTCCTGGATGGGGGCGGATCCTGGGGCCAGGAAGGACCCCACCAGGCATGGGAGCCTTCTCTCGATGGCGCGTGAAGGCGAGCAGGGGGAGGGCCATGGGACCACGTTCTCTGTCCCACAGGCCGAGAGGAGATGCTCATGGCAGCCAGATTCTGAGATCTCTGCATCTGAAATCCCACGACCCTAAAGAACCCCCTTGCGGCAGGACCCGACTTCACACTGGGATCCTGGCTTCTACATTCGCACCTGTCATTAGTCCCCCCACTTGGGTCATGGTTGTAACTACTGACCCACAAAGAATGCAGGGCGGGGCCAATTCAGAACTGAGCTCCGCCTGGCGAGGAGAAACATGGGCTGGAAGGAGCCGTGCGTGGCTCCTGCCTCGCCGATGGTACCCGCCTGGCCCCTCACTGAGCACAGTCATCCAGCCAGACTCTCAGGATTTTTGAAAGGGAGGGGCGAGCTCCCTACTGGGAAGGCGTCCTGCCCGCGCTCTGGAGTGAGGTCCAGCTGTTAGCTTCCCACCTGGAATTTGTCTTTGAGCACCATCATCACGATCTCGAAGGACTTCTCCTTCCTGAAAGGCATGTCGTAGGTGATCTCCTCCCGCCCCCATTTCTCATTTTTCAGGGTGTTGCACACGATGCAGTTGGTCCTTTTGAAACGGGGGTTGAAGTGGAAGACCACGTCCGCTCGCGGGTTCACGCTGCTGCCGCACTGCAGGTCCACCTGGAACCTGGGAGGAGAGACGGCACCTGAGCCCCGGGAGAGGGAGGCCGCCCGGAGTGGGGGCCCGCAGCAGGGACTCCAGGAGGAGGAACACAGGGCGGACCCTCTCATTCACCCACAGGGCCTAACCACCCTCCCTTCGCTTCTTCCTTAGTAACGGACCCGGGAGCTGGGGCTGGGGCCCCGTCTGTCCAGAGGGAGCCTCCATTCTCCGGCCTCCCTAGTCCATGCCCTGGCCTTCCCCACAAACAGCGCACGCGCCCACCCGGCTACCCAACACATGATGTGAGGCTGCAGTTTTGGCGCCAAGAATCATGGGAAAGGGGCCTTCACCTGGGACAGAAGAGCGGACGCCAGAGGGGAGCCCTGCTTCTCTAAGACTTGGCAGCACTGCCTTAAGCGCCTGGGCTGGCCCCCTCAGACCCGACTCTTTCCTTTAAGCCACTGTCATGTGGGCGGCAGCCACTGACTAAGCCCAACTCTAACAGATACAGCCTTGTCCACAGTTTGTACCCAGCGCATCCGATAAAAACTACCCAAACAGGCCTTAGAAGAAGCTGTGGGGGTGACCCTGCAACTGGCCTCTGTCCCTGTCATCTGACCACAGTTCCCCTCACTAACCATACATCACTGACTAAGCCCAACTCTAACAGATACAGCCTTGTCCACAGTGTGTACGCAGCGCATCCGATGAAAACTACCCAAACAGGCCTTAGGAGAAGCTGTGGGGGTGACCCTGCAGCTGGACTCTGTCCCTGTCAGACCACAGTTCCCTTCACTAACCATACATCCAATCTCTATATATAAAAGCCTAAGCGACCGTTATCTATGACACACACTGACCACCAGGGGGCAGACGCTCAACACACAGGCATGGAAACATGGAACAGACTGATGAATCTCACAGGGAAAGGGGGCAGGGGGAGGGTGGGACAAGATTAACCAAAGATCTTATATGCATACTAGAGGCCCGGTGCCCTCAGCCCGGCCTGCGGGGATCGGGCTGAAACCGGCAGTCTGACATCCCCCAAGGGGTCCTAGATTACAGGAGGACACAGGCAAGACTGAGGGACCCCACCAGTGCACAAATCCATGCACCAGGCCTCTCGTTATTTATAATGAGATCAGACTTAGAGCAATAAAATAAAAAGCCCAAATAACGTCTATTTCAGTCACTCATTCCACTCTCAGCATCTGGGCCAGGCTACTGATGGAAGCAAATTCAGCCTCAAGTACCCAAATGTCTCTCCCACGGTATGTTATTGTCACAAGGAGGCAGTTTCTTCATGTCCTTCTACATCGAATGCAACGATCTTACCTGTCGGAGTCCCCGGGAACGTGCTCACGGATCACAATCAAAGTTCCAGGCTCCAACTGCTCAGGGATGGTCCCAACATAGGGGATTATCTGGGGAAAAGAATTTGCACAAATACGCTTTTACAAGAAGCGGAAAGTCTACATTGGTAAGCACCACATTTTTATCACAAGTAAAATTTCCCAAGTGGCCCACACTGTTTTCAAACAGCTACACAGTCACGGCAGCCCTGGGTTTGCTCTCAATCCTGCCAAAGGTAGAAGGTGACTGCAGAGGACTCCGTTACCGGGTTGTAGATGACATTCTGCAGGTTGTTCAAGGACAGCATCTTTCCCTTCCACTTCAGCGTTGATTGCAGTCTCTCTTCTGTGTGCGAGCTCAGATTTTAAGCAAGTTTCATTTAAAGGTTTCCTCGATTGAAACGGAGGCAGTTGCCCTGTGCAAAATCAAAACAGAGGGGGAAAAAATGCATCACTTTTCTTTATATCATAATTATTCTTAAAGGTAAGGTTAGAAATTATTTCACTAATATTTGCCAAATAACAGGATGCTATTGTAGTCAAAGATCTGACCCCAGCTCTCACCGAGTATACTTATATTGGCAGCAAAATCTCAGACATCCAGGTCTGAGGTGATACCTCATTGTCATTTTAATTTGCACCTCTCTGATGATCAGTGACTTTGAGCATTTACTCATATGTCTCTGAACATTTTCTCATATGTCTCTTGGCCATCTGTGTGTTCACTGTGGAGAAGTGTCTACTTAGGTCCTTTGCCCATTTTTTAATGGCATTGTCTTCCTGGTATTGAGTTGTATAAGTTCTTTATATATATTAGAAATTATGAGATGTATAATTTGCAAATATGTTCTCCCATATAGTAGGTTCCCTTTTCATTTTGTTGGTGGTTTCTTTTCCTATGTAGAAGCTGTATATTTTGATATAGTCCCATTTGTTTATCTTTTTCTTTGTTTCTCTTGCCCTAGGAGATATATTGGCAAAAATATTGCTATGAGAGTTGCCTGAGATATTACTGCCTGTTCCTTCTAAGATTTGTATGGTTTTGTGACTTACATTTGAGTCTTTTATCCATTTTGAGTTTATTCTTCTGTATGGTGTAAGTTGGTGGTATAGCTTCATTTTTTTGCATGTGCCTGTCCAATTTTCCCAGCACCATTTATTGAAGAGACTGTCTTTACTCTATTGTCTGATCTTACCACATTTGTCAAATA